GGCATTCATCAAACCGGATAAGAACATTTTTAATTGTTTAAACCATTTTTTATGCCTTTGGGGCATTGTATGATGAATGCTATCACTGGCAAAGGTGCAGTGGGTTTATTAAAGTCTTTTTTTTTAAAGAACGAAAATTGCTTATTAGAATCTAAATGCACATTTGACTGAGGAAGGGTAGAAAATTATATGCCTCCTATAATATCATCCAGTCTTATGGTTTGGAGCTTCAGTTCTTTATGGAAACTGTCAGCAATTTTTTTAAATGTTGACAGCTTCTTCTTTCATATGGAAATAGAAGAGTGATTGAGCATCAAATTTGCCAATGTCTATTTCACACATGGGATTTACCTGAATCTCACTTTCAACCAATTCTAGAAATGATGCTCTTATCTTCAGACCCAGTACTTCAGGGTGTCCAAATTGGACTTAGTGATAAACAGAACTCTTCCAAAATCTGGAAGTTATCTGGAATCCAGATGGTGGAAAGTTGTCCAGCTTTTACTCAAAACCAGACAACATTAGTCAGATGTGAACCAACATTTTTCAAATTCACATTTTGAGGAGTCACTGTAGAAGAACAGACAGAGCTGGGAGTGGAGTTAAGCATGTCATCAGTTCAGAATCATTACGTTGCCACAAATGGTCCAAGTTATCTGGTGCCAATTTCGTGTTGAACCTGTGTTGTTGTGTTAATGTTGAATTCAGTCTGACCTTTACTGCAGCAAAGCAATCGGAAAATAACTCTTTTGAATCCCATCTCTTCTGGAAATTCAAGTTGCTCTCTTATTTTTATTGAATAAATCATAGGTAAATTTACCGATGACTAATAAGATATGTGACTCCTGATGGTATGTGATCAAGCTTGCAAGTCAAACTTTCATTTGTCTAAGAAAACTATATTTCCCCATGTCAGAATAGGGGAATTATGGTGATTACCTTAAACAAACTAGGATCATATCATGATTTAAGATAGAGCAATTCATAGACTTCGTATATCATAAAAAACTGTACTTTATTTAACCCCCCCCAAAAAAGTATATATTTGTTATTTTTGTCCTTGGAAACTAAAACATGATTGCTGCAGCAATTTTCATTTCACCTCTCTTCCTCAAAAACCAGAACATTCTCCACTCTTCTCCAAAGCACAGACATTTTAAAGTCTTTATTACTATTATTATTATGTTTATTGGTCTTTTCATGATCTTTTATTGTTTGTTTTTTTTAAATATAGAAAAATGGCCTTTATTTAAATCTTTTGTCTTAATCCCCTCTGACGTATTTGTTGATTTATCTTTTGTTTTATGGCTTCATAAATTGAATCATATTTTATCAGGTTGGCCTTGTTGGTCCAATGTTTAATCTGTTTCAGGGTTTTGTTTTTTGGTGATGTTGGCTGGGGAATTCTGGGAGTTGAAGTGCACACCGCTTAAAGCTGCTGAGGTTGAGAAAGAACGTTCTAATGAATTCCATGCCAGTTCAACCCCACCGTCTAGTCCTCCTGCCTACACCAGTAGCATTTCTGATGTGAACAGGAAGGATCCAGGACCCCATCATCCTGTTTGCAACAATCCAAAGCCTTCCTCTTCCTTCAAGTCTGTTTTCAACTTCAATCCTCTCCAACAGATGCCACCTTCCATAGGCATCAAGATAGTTGGTCCAATTTGTCCTGCGTACCCAAACCCAGAGTGAAGGCCATTCCTGTCTACCTGCCTTGTTAGAAATTCCAATTAATGGGCAAATCAATCAGATATTCTTCCTGATCAGCCAGCCTAGTGACGGAATGAACCAGCCACAAATCAAAAACACTTGCCCATCAACACTTTTTGCTCATGATGCAGCCCTATTAGAGACAATCACATGTCAGATTTCTAGAAAACTTTCTCTCTCTCTCTCTCTCTCTCCCTCTTTTTTAAACCAAGCAGATGTCAGGAAAAAGATGGGCAAGGAAAGATTCTTTATTCAGAAGAGGCCATATGCCTGAAGCTTTTGTCAGGGAATAGATAAAAACACACTTCCTTGGAGGAGGACAGTTATTCATTCTCTCCCTCTCTCCCTCTCCCTCTTTCCCTCTCTTTCTCTTTCTCTCCCTCTCTCTCTCTCCCCCTCCCTTTCTTTCTCTCTCTCTCTCTCTCTCTTTCTCTCCCTCTCTCCCTCTCTCCCTCTCCCTCTTTCCCTCTCTTTCTCTTTCGCTCCCTCTCTCTCTCCCTTTCTCCCCCTTTCTCTCCCTCTCTCTCCCTCCCTCCCTCCCTCCCTCCCTTTCTTTCTTTCTTTCTCTCTCTCTCTCTTTCTCTCCCTTTCTCCCTCCCTCCTCTCCTCCCCCGCTCTCTCTTGTAAGTTGAGACGGAAAAGAAAGAAACTTCCATAGAAACAGGTGGATGGGATGAGCTCCAACAATTTCTTTATGGCAGAAAGAATGCATCCAACCCAACGCATGTTTCTCTCTTCCCAAAAAAAATGCTCTTGGTTTTTGAGAGGTCCCTAATTAAATTCATGTTGTAGATAGAAAGACCCAGTTCAAGAGCTGTTTTTGTGATGGATTTTTGGTGTCCTCTGAGCTTGGTCATTTTCAGGCTGATGTTTCACCGCTACGTTCCCTGCACTGATGATGTTGACTAGTAGAGTATCTCTAGCTCAAGAGTTGAAATGAGGTGTCCTTGGTTCTCCCTGACCTTTGTTGTTTTCTTGCAGATGTTTCATTACCCAACTAGGTAACATATCACAGCTAGAAGGGAGTGAGGTGTACAAGAGGAGGAGGATTGTGGAATCCTTGGTGGTCTCTAAGTCTGGTTGTTTTCTTGCAGACGTTTCATTACCAAACTAGGTAACATCAGCAGTGCTAGTTGTTGCCTAGCCTAATAACAAAATATCTGCAGGAAAACAACCAAGCTCAGAGAATACCAAGAAGCCAACAATTTAATCCTGAGCTATTTGTATTCCCTACTACGGCATTATTCCCTGTTCTTGTTCACATTCAGCCACTGGACAGCACCCTAATCCCTTTCCCATTTGTTCAAGAACGGTGACTTCATCATATTACTCTTTTAACTTTCACAAAAGGGTTTTCTGTTCCAAAATATGTTGACAATACCGATTGGCAGCTCCGTATAATTTGACATCTTCACCATCTTTGCCTCATACGGTCTTAAAAAGCTGTACATATTGACTTTCATCTAAGCCAATTAGCTGCTTATCTGCTGCTTTTTGCATTCAGCAAGGGCCTGTACCAATAAATTAGAGTAAGAGATTGGAATGTATCATCCAGAACGAAAGACAATGGATAGAAGATTATCAAAGAGAAATCTAACCTCGAATTTTAAAGAGAAATTTCCTGACCATGAGAACAATTAACCAGTGGAACAGCTTGCCTCCAGAAGTTGTGAATGCTCCAACACTGGAGATTTTCAAGAAGAGATTTGATGGCCATTTGTCTGGCATGGTATAGGGTCCCCTGCTTGAGGAGGGGGTTGGAGTAGAAGACTTCTAAGGTCCAACTCTGTTGTTCCATTTTCTACTCTACAGTCTGATTTAATCATGGTTGCTTTCGTCAATAGAAGACTTTCTTTTAATCTAATCTTCTACCACGTAGCAACCTGTTATTATATCCCTAAAGCAAATCATGCCTCAAACTTGGTGCATTTCTTTTAAATGTGAAAATTAATAACCTCATTCTCTGTTAAGTCAAACATTCTGTTGGCCCAGATTTCCTATTGTTCGTTATACAGTACCTGCTAATTAGCTCACAAGGTTTTTGCATTGAAATCCCACTGTTATTTTCCAAGGTTCATTCTAATTATTATTTATTACAATTATTGATACCCACCACTGAGCGTACAAAGCTGACCCCAGAAGCTTATAACTGACCTCAAAAATACTAAAAAAAACCATGATAAGCAATGTTATTCAAATGAAAAATAACAAATTTTTGAATCTTTTCCATGTGGTGAAACCTGGCTGAGATTCAGTCAAGGAGAAACATTTGCCTCCTACCCAAAATACTGGAGCTAAGAGTCCTCAACTTTTTTTATTTGTTTATTAAAATTTTAAGCTGCCCATCTTTCTTAAAAGGTGACTCTGGGAGGCTTACAGAAATAGAAAAAACACTTAAAATATTAAAGTTATGCAAATTAAAAAAAATTAAACTCTACAAATAAATTTGGACCAAGAGACAGACTGCATGGGGATGAGGTCTTCTTACTTCTTAGTCTTACTTACTTACTTACTTACTTATTCTTATTCTTACTTACTTCTTATTGAGTCTGTCATCTGCACCTCTATAAATGTCTGGTTTGGCTCTGCAACTAAACAAGACAGACACAGACTTCAGTGGATAATTAGGACTGCAGAAAAAACAATTGCTACCAACCTGCTTTCCATTGAAGACCTGTATGCTGCATGAGTCAAAAAGAGGGCTGTGAAAATATCTCCAGACCCCTCACATCCTGGACATAAATTGTTTTAACTTCTACTCTCAAAACAATGCTATAGGGCACTGGAAACCAGAACAACTAGACACAAGAATAGTTTTTCCCTGAACTTTACTAAACAACTAATTCCCACAACACTGTCAAACTATTTACTAAGACTATATTGCTGTTTTTCTTCTCATCCTAGTACCTATCTCTTCCCACTTATGACTATATCCATATAGCTTGTATCTTTACAATTTATATTGTTTTATTTGTTTTCTAGTATGATTTGATTGCTTATTAGTAACTTATGACTCTCACTTAGTGTTGTATCTTGATGAATGTATTTTATTTCTCCTTTATGTACACTGAGGGCAAAAGACAAATTCCTTGTGTATCCAATCACACTTGGCCAATAAAGAATTCTATTCTATTACTTCACCACAAACTTGTGACTTACAACAACCTCACAACGCATTCTGCTCTGCTGTGTTAGATATTCTTGGTTTAGTATGTTTTGCCCATCTCCAAGGTCTAAGCCAGTCTGATATTTTTATTTTTCTGTCTCTTCCTCCCACCCTCTCTCTGTAGGTAAAGATGATGTGAAGCCAATCCCATGTCCCCAGACACCGCAGAATGCTTGGCGAGCAACATCTTCTTCAGCCATCTGTTGAGCCAGAAGATGTTTGACGTAGTTATCCATTCACTTCATGTAGGAGGGATGGCTTTGTTGCCTTCTAGGGAATGATCTGGGCCAGATCTGCAGAGATGGCTGCATGACCTACGAATTTATCTTTTATCAAGAGGTGAAGCTCCCCAAAGAAGGCCGGCTTTCCCCCAGCTTGCAAACAGATACAAAGCCTTGCGCTCTTTCTCTCTCTTGCTCATCAGAGGTTGGTGGCTCAGCTGTGGACTTACTGAGGGTCCATCTCTACACTGTGTGAGATCCTGATCTCGAGGCCTGGACGATTTCAGGACTACAATGGAAGAGAATGTATTCAGTGTCCAACAGATTCAGCCGAATGTAATCTCGGTGAAGCTCTTCAAACGGAAGGTGGGTGGCCTCGGGTTCCTGGTGAAGGAACGAGTTAACAAGCCACCTGTGATCATCTCTGACTTGATCCGAGGAGGGGCAGCAGAACAAAGTGGCCTTATTCAGTCAGGAGATATTATCCTAGCGGTCAATGGGAAGCCCCTGGTTGACATGAACTATGACGCAGCCTTAGGAGTCCTTAGAAGCATCGCTTCGGAAACTTACGTTGTTCTCATCTTAAGAGGCCCCGAGGGCTTCACCACTCACCTAGAGACAACCTTCACTGGAGACGGGACACCAAAAACCATCCGTGTCACCAGACCTCTGTGTGGGACGCCAACAGTAGGCGATCAGGCATCTGCTCCGAGCATCCGCACCAAAGAGAAGCAACAGGGGGAAGAACGCAGCATGGGGGGCTCGGTCAGCTCCCGGTGTAACCGGGAGAATGGGCAAGGGGAAGAAAACCTGGTGCACGTCAATGGCATGGTAGCCACCAACGTGGCCAAGGACACCCTGAAAGGAAACCAGGATATTCCTGACCATTGCCTGAATGGCAGCGTTGAGAACAGTGAACTGCTCAAGGAGATTGAACCCGTTCTGGATCTTCTGAAGGGCAACAGCAAGGAACTCAATGGCAATGCTGAAGCCAAGATGGGAGTGAGAGATGTTGAAGTCCAGGTGGACAGGTAGGATGCGAAACTCATTTTATGCTATGGGAGTCCTTGACTTACAACCAGAGTTGAGCTCAAAATTTCCATTGCTAAGCAAGACAGTTGATAAGTGAATTTTACTTTTCTTGCCACAGTTAAATTAATCATGGCCGTTGTTTAGTTTAGTTTAGTTTAGTTTAGTTTAGTTTAGTTTAGTTCCATTGAGTTAAGTTGGGTTGGGTTGGGTTGAGTTGGGTTGAGTTGAGTTTGGTCGTTAAGCAAATCTGGCTTCCCCAATGACTTTGCTTATCAGAAGCAGGCTGGGGTGGTTGCAAAAGGTGATCACATGACCCTGGAATAGCCCAACTGTCATAAATACATGCCAATTGCCAAGTGTCTGAATTTTAGTCATGTGACCATGGAGATGCTGCTGACAATCATAAGTACGAAAAACGTTCGTAAGTCTATTTTTTCAATGGTCACTAAATGAACAGTTGTAAGTCGAGGACTCCCTGTATTTTTATCATCTCCAAATCATATGGGATTACAGCTCCCTGTATGCCTAACCACCTCTCTTCCCTGAGTGAGTACGGTCTTAGCAACAGCCAGGAAGGAGCAAGATCTCCCTATGTGAATGCTGACTTTAGAATCTATTCTGCGTTGGCCATGAAGGCATGGCTGGAATGTTTGGTGCTCATTTAGCAAAGGGCCTTGTGCTGGAATCAGAGGGAAATGGGGTGGGGGGAGAGAGTGAGAAATAAAGGTACCCTGCCTTCCATTGAGAACCTACCGTATATACTGGTCAGAAAGAGGGCTGAGAAAGTATCTACAGACCCCTCACATCATGGACTGTTTCAACTCCTCCCCTCGGGATGCCAAAACAACTAGACACAAGGACAGTTTCTTCCCCCATGCCATCACTCTGCTAAACACCTAATTCCCACGGCACTGTCTTGTGCCTAAGGATTTCCATCCATGCAGTAGGGCTATATTACTATTGTCCTTCTCATCTTTCCTATTATCTTCTCTTATGGGCATCATCATTATGATTATATTTGTTGTTTGTATGTACACTGAGAGCTTATGCACTGGAGACAAATCCCTTGTGTGTCCAATGACACTTGGCCAATAAGGAATCTCTTCTCTTCTCTCTCCTTCTGTCTTCTCTTCTCTCCTCTCCTCTCCTCTCCTCTCTTCTCTTCTCTTCTCCCCTGCTTCTTCCCTGAATGAAGAAAACTTGTTTCATGAAAGTTGGTCTCCATTTCGAATTGCTTTCCCTCTTAGTAACAATCGTGTCCTTTCCTCCCATTCTCTCACCTGTTCTCTTATATGCTTTAAATACATGGAAAATTCCCCCAATGCCCATGAACTAATCAAAATTCCCCCAATGCCCTGTCCTGACTAATCAGTAGGAGCCTTAATTGGATAAAAATGAGGATCTTAAATAACGAAGCAGAGGAGACAGTGACAAGCATAACATGAGAATGGATTACATTTTTAATGGATGCTCATTTCAAACTTTTTAGCGTTGGCTTGCTTGAAAATGGACAGTTCCTGAACTGGAAAAACACATTGCTAAAAAATGGATAAAATGGCTAGCTCGTGAACCATGCCTAATTGATGATTTAATGTATGAAGCTGCATTTTAGATAGAGAAAAACAAGCCATTCTCAGAATAAGTCCATTATCTAACTTCACCTGACTCAACTTGTATCCCCTTAGAGCAGGGGTGGGCCATTCATTTTCCCAAGGGGCTACATTTGATGATGGAACAGTTGTGAAGGGCTGAAGCAATAGACTGAACTTAACTCTTCTCAATATTAGTTTTAGTACCTTATTAAAAGCAATAAATTATAATACAGTTTGGCTTAGCTGCTATTGGTAAGAATACATATCATTACATCTTATTTGCAGTCAATTTCTAATTTCCAATTGATCTCACCCGGGCCAGATAAGGACAGCCAAAAGGCCAGATATACTCAGATATACCTAAAATACACAGGTCTGCCTTAGAGAAATCATAGATGAGGCTCCCATCGTCTTGAAGGAGCTTGGCTGATGCATCCTTGGTTTTTGAAATTGGGGAGGCGTTGCATCACATCCCGGACATAAACTGTTTCAACTTCTACCCTCAAAACAATGCTATAGAGCACTGCACACCAGAACAACTAGACACAAGGACAGTTTTTTTCCCATCACTCTGCTAAACGAATAATTCCCTCAACGTTGTCCAACTATTTACAAAGTCTGCATTACTATTACTATTAATCTTCTCATCACTCCTTATCACCCATCCCCTCCCACTTGTGACTGTATGACTGTAACTTTGTCGCTTGTATCCTTACAATTTATATTGACTGTTTCCTAGTATGATTTGATTGCTTATTGTACCCTATGACTATCATTAAGTGTTGTACCTGATGATTCTTGACTCTTGACAAATGTATCTTTTCTTTTATGTATACTGAGAGCATTTGCACCAAGACAAATTCCTTGTGTGTCCAACCATACTTGGCCAATAAAGAATTCTATTCTATTCTAGAAGAAAATTTCCCCCCAGCAATGGCATTGCACAACACCCAACTTCATTAGCGTTGGGACATTGAAATGCTTGTAATTTCCTAAGTCTCCTCTTACTCAACACACAGCTCTGCAGCAGGGAGAGAAAACACAAAAGGTTTTCGCTGGGCTAGTGAGCAGAAGAAAAATTTAATTCTCTGGAGCTGAAAAGAATGGAGCAGCAATGAGGATCTGATTAGCATCTCCAGAAATGAAGCAGCAGCCAAGGAATAACGAGGAAAATAGATGAACTAGGTTTTAGAAAGAGGATGGGGTTTTAGGGACAATCCTCTTGTTGTGGGGTTGAGCACAAAAAAGGTGTAAAGCATACACAGAGAGAAAAGAGAACTGTTCAAAGGTGTATTCTTTTTCATGGTGGGAGGGAGGCTCAGAGGTTTATTTATTTTTTATGTATTTATTAAATTTCCAAGCCACCCTGTCTCCCCAATCAGGCAACTCTGGGCGTAGTACAAATCATTAAAAAAAAAAAAAAAGATAAATAGAAAACCATTAAAATTTAAATCGAGGCTGGTAGAGAATCCTGCAGGAATTAAGTCAGTGCACCCCAAACCTTTTCCTTCATTACCTATCAAAAAGTCTTTTTTCTTCTCTTCCATGTAGGCAAAACATTTAAAGTCTATTTAAATGTTCTCGCTCTGATTGGGTCGGGGGCTTGTGTGTTTTTGTGCCCTAAACCACTTTGACCCAATGCTGCGACATTTTCCCAGATCTGGGAAACTCTGATTTAAACAACTTGGCAAAGTATTTGAAGCCTCTTTTGTCTTGATAAAAATAGAGCCAATCAGTTTACAGTCACCTGGGGGCCAATTTTCTTTCCTTCGTGTTTAAGCAGGAAAGTTAAGAATAAAACAGGAAGCCTTCACTCTGTTGAGCAATTACAGTTTGCAAGGAGAACAACAGGCAAATCATACGTAATTCTGTAGCATGTATACAGGTAACTTATGACCACAATTGACCCCCAAATTTATGTTGCTAATTGAAACATTTGTTAAGTGGGTTTTGCCCCATTTTAGAACCTTTTCTTGCCACTGTTGTTAAGTGAATCTGCAGTTAAGTTAGTAGTAAGGTTGTTGAGGGACACCTGGCTTCTCTCTTGACTTTGCTTGTCAGAAGGTTGCAAAATGGAACTGTCATAAATATGAGTCAGTTTCCAAGCATCTGAATTTTGATTAAAATGTGGGGGAAACGGTCATTAAGTCACTTTTTTCAGTGCCGTTGTAATTTCGAACAGTCGCTAAATGAACTGTTGTAAAAGTCCAGGATTAACTGTATATTATTTTATTTCAGACTTGAGAGAACACAAGTTTGAGTTCTAACATAGCTATATGTTTCTTTGGGGTTCTTTTTTTTTTTTTCAAATTGCTGGAAGCCTTTGGTGCACGCTGCAGAAATTAGGGTCAAAATTAAATTAAAAGGAGCAGATATTGCTGCAGATATTGGGGCAGACCTGAGGTTGTGGTTTTTTTGGCAGAAGATCTGACCCCAATATTTACGGTGGGAAAATAAGTAAGGAGCATTGTTGTGGTCTGTCAGCCGTCAGCCCCTCCAGCAGCCGAATCAGAGGAAGAGGAGGAGGTGTGGGAGTCAGGATCACCATCCAGGCAACCTGAAGCTCCAAGCGGGAAGAGGGAATGAAGCTGGCAGAGAGAGAGAGAGACAGACAGAGGCGGAGTCTGGGCCGTCCATCAGCCCTCCGATGGAGAGTCAACAGCCCCCAGGTCTGGAGGTGACTGATGAAGAAGAGGAGGAACAGCTGGGTCCGGTGCCTGGCGCGAGGATGCACAGAAGGCAGAGGAGAGGAGAGAAGTGGAAATCTATGGGCCGGTCCTTGGGAAGGATGAGCCACCGCTGTTAGCAAAGCCCCACCCTAGCTCTGGGAATAAAAGCCAGGGGGCGGAGACGAATAGATGTGGCAGACAAGTATTCTTCTCCCAGCCGGACAGACTTGTAAGTAAAAGTGTTGTGGCCTGTCAGGTGCCCCCCCCCCCCCCCCCCAATCAGAGGAGGAGGGGGGGGGGGGGGAATCAGCGTCAGCATCAAGGCAACCTGAGAGCTCCGAGGGGGAAAACAGAATGGAATTGTCAGAGAGAAAGAGGGAGGGAGGGAGAGAGAGAGAGAGAGGGAGGGAGAGGGAGGAGCTGGGTCAGAACAATCACTATACAGGTAGTCCTCGACTTCCAATCATTTATTTAGCCATCGTTCCAAAATTATGATGCACTGACAAGCATGATTTATGACCGATCTTCACACTTATGACTATCACGACTATCATCCAGTTTTGGTCGCCCCGATGTAAAAAATATGTTGAGACTCTAGAAAAAGTGCAGAGAAGAGCAACAAAGATGATTAGGGGGCTGGAGGCTAAAACATATAAAGAATACTTGCAGGAATTGGGTATGTCTAGTTTGATGAAAAGAAGGACTAGGGGGGACATGATAGCAATGTTCAAATATTTG